ACTGTAAATGGCGTTGCATGCCAGGCCCTTAACTGAAACCCGGATAGAAATCGAAGAGTTTCGCACGCCTCCTCGAATGACATTGAAGAGTTCATGCAAGCTAATGCTCAGTCATTGGATCATCCAAAAGGAGGCTGCAGAGAACAAGATGAAATAGAGATCTTATGGTGAAGCCATATTTTCCGCTTGGTAACCGAGGGAATAATGACATATATTAATAGTATACTTGATTCTATATTTAAGGATTAAATTAAGAACAACTTCATATCTAATGAACATACAGGAGTCAGACAAGGGTGCTTATTATCACCAATGATATTCCTAATTGTGGTCGACTGGATTATGCGTCAGACAGTGGGAAACGACAAGACAGGAATATCCTGGACCGACGTGAAGAACCTAGAAGACCTGGATTTCGCGCGTGGATGATTTATGTTTGATGTCACACAAAATCGAAGACTTACAAGCGAAAACCGACAAACTGGTCGAAGAAGCAGCCAGAGAAGACAGGACTCCAGGTAAACACAGACAAGATGGAGGTCATGAAAATAACCAACAAACAACAACAACAGCAGCAGCAACATCCAGCGCCAATCACCATCAACGGGAGGGATTTGAAAGAGGTTACTTCATTCACTTATCTACGGAGCATTGTCTCAACTGCAGGAGGAACGGACGAAGATGTCAAATCGAGAATCGGGAAGGCGAGAAACACATTCATCAACCTGAAACCAATCTGGAAATCTTCGTCACTCAACTCAGCATCAACAACAAAATTCGGATTTTCAGTACAAACGTCAAGTCAGCCAGTTCTTCTATACGGATGGATCAGAAACTTGGCCAGTGTGTCACAAAGAATATTTCCAACAGCCTGTTGCAGACCTTTATCTACAACTGTCTTCGCTCTTAACACTGAAGGTCAGATGGCCGGAAAGAATCACCAACAAGAAACTACGGGAACAAACAAAACAAGAACCAATCGCCCAACAAATATGCAGGAGAAAGTGGAGATGGATTTGACACTCGCTGAGGAGGCCACTCGCTGGGTGACATCGCGCGTCAGGCCAGTGCTCGAGTGGAACCCGAAAAGGAATTGGCGAGTGGGACGTGAGTGCAAGGGTGACATGGAGGAGATGGTGTGAAGAGGAGTTGAAACAGTATGGACTAACATGGATGCAGGTGAAAAGCACAGCATAAGAGAGAAGCAAGTTGAGACGTGTAGTTGAAGCCCTATGTTCCCCTAGGAACCCAAAGGAACAATATTAATAATAACTTGATGTAGACTGTAAATGGCTTGCATGCCAGGCCCTAGACTGAAACCCGGATAGAAATCGAAGAGTTTTGCATGCCTCCTCGAATGACATTGAGGAGAAGGAAATGCAAGCTTATGCTCAGTCGTCGGGTCATCCAAAAAGGAGGCTGCAGAGAACAAGATGAAATAGAGATCTGATGGTGAAGCCATATCTTCCACTTGGTAATCAAGGGAATAATGATATATATTAGTTGTATAGTTGATTGTATATTTATGGATTAAATTGAAAACAATTTATGTCTAATCATCTTTTTCTTGGTATCATGTTGGTATTCACCACCATTTCTATGGAACTCATCATCTGAAAATAAATACGATGCCAATAAATAAAATCAAGAAAATGTTAGTCACAGCGAGCGCATCATACTAGTACCAATCACTTCAACATTATTAGTATGATTATTATTGTCATCTCGGTTGAAAGCATCTTTCTTCAGTGTTATTGTTAAAACTTAATTTTCTTCCATCTTAATTTGCTTCGCTATCATTATTATTTCCTTGGGTTTCAAGTGGAACATAGGGCTTCAAAAACACATCTTCACTTTCTTCTACTTTCTGCTGTCCTCTATAGCTGGGTGACCACACAATTCTCCATAATCTCTCATCTCCTCCTCACTACACAATCTTCTCCATGTCATCCTCGGACAACCTACTCATCTTTTCTTATTCACCTTCCACTCAAGGGTCTGGCACGCGATGGCATTTGACGGTCTCCTCAGCGTCTGCCCAATCCATGTCCATTTTCTTTGTGACATTCATTGAACGACACTTTCTTGATAAGTTCGTCAGCAGTTCGCCCCATCCTCCTCTATGACTGAATACGAAGCATGGCCACTGAAAATGGAAAGCATGAATGTAGAGGCTAGTTGTCTTTGATTATAGGAGCCTGCATTCTATCTCTCGTGTGTGTAAGGTGGTATAATAGGGTGGGTAATATTGAGCTTAGGCATCTGTTGAATTTTAGATACGGAGGGGACATCAATCAACGAGGTTGTGAAATTACGGTGATTGAAGTGGCTAAGACATGTTTCACGCATGCCTAGCCATCGCTTTCTTTGACGGTCAGTGTTAACTGACATAGGATGAGGTTGTAAAACAGCTAGTAGTGGTCAAACCAAAACTTGACATCATTCAATCAAATCGTTGACAGTTAGTTTGAGCCATGCCGGGAGATGTGAACTTCCTGACTAGGCTCGCTGGGATTCTAAGAACCAATAGCTGAAGACAATCGGTGATATGACTCAAGATTGTTGTCAGTGGCTCAGATGCATTCGCTTCCTGTGATCTACCATGTCCAATAAAACCCTATTGTTTTGCTTTGATACTAGTCTTTCTCCTTCACACTTCTGCCCATTATAGTTCTTTTGAATATATCTTTTCTCTTTTGTCTTGAACTGCTGCACTTCTGTGTAAAGTCATCTTTGTCCATTATCTTTCGTTTCCCTCCCTCTCATGTGGTATTTTCTGTCACCGTCATACTCATGCACAACTCATCGCTTCCTATTCGGGTCCCACTCGACAGTCTTTTGGTGTCCAATATCACTTGAATGTCCTCTCAACGTATAATATGTCCAATCGATTTTCATTTTCTTCTGTCCATTTGTTAAGTAACAGATTCTTTGCTGGTGAGTAACCAGTTAGCGTCAGTAGCATGTCTGTAGTCTAAAGGATACTTTGTTATCGAACTCCATGATGACTCGGCTTCAGCTTTCTTCAACCATTCTACTTGGTTGATTTGAATACACAGTCTCCGAATGTTTTTCTATTTTTTTTTTCAAGTTTCATCGCGGATTGATATCAGTTGGGGAGAACCATTGAAAACCAGACAGTGTTGGACAGCTGTCTGCTGCTAGTTCGAGACTCATCGGCAGTACGCACCCATCGCCAGGGTTTAAAACCATGACCTTCCAGTGACAAGTCAAGCTCGTAGACGATCCAGCCACTGGGACCGGACTCATGTATTCTAACTTCTACCAATTCGTGATTTTAACGCAACTGGTACCAGTAAACGTCATCGGTGGGGAGTATTTGTCCTCACTCCTGACCCCAGTGATCTTGATTTTTCATTGGAACTGTAGGCAACGTGATCCTGTAGCCAGTCACGATGAAGCATCAGATTATTCTTCAAGAGTTAGTTTGTAGTGTTTCGATTTATTCCTGGAGAGTTCCAGTGAAAAAAGTCGTGACCAGTGGGGTATATTCAGTCAGGAGTGAGAACAGATACTCGCCGAGGACAATGGTGGTGGTGGTCGTCGCGCTAAAATCACGAATTTGTAGAAGTCAGAATTCATGAATTGACTGTTGAATCGGGTCCCAGTGGCTGAATGGTCTATGAGCGCTTGACTTGTCCCTGGGAGGTCGTGGGTTCTAACTTTGCCGGTGGGTGCGTAGTGTCTACGAATCTCAAACTAGGACAGAGGAATTATTGATATAAGTATAAAACCTGGACACTGTGGTGGCAGAGTATAACTCCATCATGGATAAGATTTTTTTTTGATAAATCACGCAGTGTTGTTATACAGTAACATTAACTGATGACGTTTCGAGCATAAACTATCGCCACTCATAATCATATCAAGTTACTCACACAACTTTCTCGCTTCATTTATATACATGAGTGGAATTGATGATTAGACATTTGAACAAAAATCAACCAGTATAAGATAATGTACATTCAGAAATAATAATAATACGAGTGTTATCAGTCAAATACAATCAGATGGGAAATAAGACGAGTGTTTTTACAGTCATAATAATAATAGCTTTATTCCAAACAGTATTTGTGGTACAGGTATGGAATTTTCAGCGTGCATTACAATATTGCATCTAATTACCTCATAAATTTTATAAGATTTTAAAAATAAAAAGCAACAACAACAAAATGAAAAAAAAAGAAATAAAAAGAACAGCATTGCATTCACATATTTAAACAATGCACCACAGGATATGAAATATAAATGTAGTGTGTAATGGAATATGTGAGCAACAAATATAATAGTAACAAAGAAGGGAGAACAAAAGCTAATGGGAACTATTTGTTAGAGTGCCGCAGTAAGTTGATCGTGTCATACCTAACGGATTTCTCATCACATAACAGCTGTGCCAGATAAGGTATTGTGGAGTTTTTGTACTTGGTAGTCCTGGCATATAGCCTGCTATAGTTGCTTCTAGTTCTACCAGATGAAATGCAAGGAGAGAACTGCGTATAAAGAGGGTGTTCGGGGTCTGACAATATAGAATTCGCTAGTTTCTTACATGACATTATATGTCTATCTACAATTGTGTTAACCAGTTGGTTTGACGAAATCCCACTTGCCCTACTAACAGCTTTTAGTGCCCTACGCAGCAAAGTTATTTGTTAGAATGTTGTGATGTGTTTGAATTGAAATAGAATTTTAAGATTATTTATTATCCTATTCTGATTTGACTTGTGACAATAATACGAGTGTTATTGATCAATTATAATCAGATAGGACAGGACAGAGGAAACAGCTGTCCACTACTCCTCGCTGATTTCCATTGGTTTTCTAACTGATTAATTTCAATTCGCGATCAAACCTGAGGCAAAATAAATCCATACCAACAAACTTTTAAGAAGTTTATCTATATAAACTGTTAATTTTTTTTGAAATTTCATTATGTACAATTTGACTTACCACGTTGTTGTTTTTTTCATTTCACTTCAAAGGTCTTATGGTGTTGTGCTATGGGAGATAGCTACATTCGCCTCATTACCATATCCTGGTTTATCACATGAAGAAGTTATGAATTATGTGATTAACGGTGGACACTTAAATCTACCTGATTGTCCAAGTAAATTTCCAGCTGTACTGTAAGTTCGTTCTCTTTATCTCTATATATAAATATTACGCAATTATTATGATAATAGGATAAATCATGTATTCACGAAAAATGTGTCCATCCAGACATGAATATAAGAACAAACATTTCAGCGAAGAGTCTCTTTTTTCGGCGGCGAATTCATTCACTTACTTAGCTAGCTGTACAATCGCAATTATATATACTTATTTATAAATATGTGTGTGTGTTTACATTAGGTTTATCCGCTAAGAACAAAGATTAGTTAGGGTTATTGTTTATGTCATCAGAATGTTTCAAAAAGTGTAACGAACCATCACATTGTATGTAGGTATTGATTATTATTATTATTATTGTTTCCTTTAATTCCTAGGGGAACATAGGGTTTCAGCCATGCGTCTCCACTGCGTTCGGTTCTCTGCTAGAGTTTTCACCTGGCTCCAAGTCTGCCCACACGTTTCCATGTCCACTTCACATGACCTCCTCCAAGTCACTCTTGTACTGACGACCAACTCGCCGCTTCCATTTCGGGTTCCACTCGAGCAATGGCTTGTCTAGTGATGTCACTTGATGGTTTCCTCAAAGTATGGCTAACCTACCTACCTTCATTTCTTCCTGCCTATTTGTTTCACAATCGGTTCCTGCTGGGTTGGTTCGCTCCCAGAGTTACGTAATATGAAAGACGCCCAGGAAAACAGGATGTTAGTGGAAGAGCATGGAGACACGTGTCGAAAATAAATTATGTAATAGGTAGAAAGAGTGAATAAAGGATTAGTTACTAAAATGTCTTACGAAAATTCAAAAATGGTGTATTAGAAACAAAGTTGTTCAACTTGGAATTATCCACCACCAAGGTAGGTAGAAGGAGAGCGTGGAGAAGTTTCTTCTGTGTACATAAATCTGGGTTTTCTATCCAGATCGCTTAGGCCTCGGTAATGTAAACTATACAGAAGTTTACCGTTCCTGGGAGGCTTCTTTTGACTTTATACATGACTTTGAATGAATTCTCTTTACCTGTTGATTGACCTGGGTTGAATATATATTCAATTATAGCACTCCTTATTGTTCTATCGTTATGTTTTCATAGCGAAGCTGGAAAATGTGCTTCAACTCTTTTAGATAAAACACGCACCCACCCACCCTCTAATTACTATATGGTTATTCAGATATGATACAGAAGATTTGTAGCTCAGGTGGATGATTTTGATGTGGTTGTGTTCTCTGAGCTGGATAGTTAATTTGCGAAACTTTCATCGCCCTACCAGGCGACATCTTCAGTGCATACTTCAATTTGAAGTGAGCTTTTAGATTTCTCCACGAGCTTAATTAATCATCTCTTCTGGTGACCTTGAACGTGATTGGTTGATTTTGTGTGTTTTCACACCTTCTAGGTGACTTGTATTGTAACTCATTGTTTCTTTTACTTGAACTTCGATCCTTTTTGTGTGAGGTTTCTTTCTTATCGGTTGATAAATTTTTTCTATCTCGATGTGTCTATTGATTGATGATTCACTGGAATGCCAAGCTTCTAAAAATTCTCTAGCATTCCTGTTGTTTCCCCTGTCTAATATTTGAACGTCATCCCAGTCGAACTGATGTCCGTGGTTGTCTGTATGTAGTGATATGAGGGAGTGGATGTCATGTCTTTTGACAGCTAGCTTATGTTCGTGGATACGAAAACGAAGGGGACGTCCACTTTGGCCAATGTAGTGTTTTTCGCAGTTGATACAATTATATCAACTGCGAAAGGGTCGAAGTTCAAATAAAAGAAACAATGAGTTACAATACATGTAACCTAGAAGGTGTGAAAACACACAAAATCAACCAATCACGTCCAAGGTCACCAGAAGAGATGATTAATTAAGCTCGTGGAGAAATCTAAAAGCTCACTTCAAATTGGAGTAGTATGCTCTGAAGATGTCGCCTAGTAGGGCGATGAAAGCTTCGCAAATTAACTATCCAGCTCAGAGAACACAACCACATCAAAATATGATTATTCATCACATATTTTGAAACATTCTGATGACGTAAACAATTACCCTAACTAATCTTTGTTCTTATCGGACAAAACTAATGTAAACACACACATATATATACAAAAATAAATATATATGATTGCGATTGTACAGCTAGCTAAGTAAGTGAATTAATTCGCCGTCGAAAAGAGACTCTCCGCTGAAATGTTTGTTCTCATAGATAACATATTACTATTATTATTATTATTGTTACTGCTATTCCTTTGAGTTCGAAGTGGAACATAGCGTTTCACCAGCACATATCCATTTCATCCTGTTCCCTGAAGTCCTTTTTTGGGTGGCTCTACGACTGACTATAGGCTTTCATCCACCTCTATTTTCGTTGGCATATTTTTTTGGTTCGAAGGTTCTTTGTTGGTTCATCGTCAGTGTCGAGCTGGCAAAGGGGGCACGTGTTAATTAAAGTCTGCAGCAAGCCGTTAAAAAGGCTTTTTGTGACGCGGAAAGTCTTAGTGTGCTTGTCCCTAATACAGTCAATTTATTTGATGAAATATTACAGTTTTACAGTAATAAAATCAAATCTTATTTACTGAATGATGGAATTATACTTTACCATAGTGCCTATGTTCTATTCTTATATCAGTGTGTGTGTGTTCGTGGTCATCGTTTAGATGAGCCAAGTAGATTACTGACTCTCTCCATTTGACAACATGAAGAGTCCACATCCATTTCACCTGCTCCCACTGATTCCTAGCACTGACTGACTGGGTTCCCGATGGCTTTCTCCGGTTCCAGCAAAGTTTATTTTTATATATATATTTTTTTCTGTGCTTTAATTTTTTTTGTAGTGATTGGATTGATATTCTAGGATAAGATCGCTAGCCGCCATACCTGTTCAACCTTTCCTCTCGTTTTGAACTTAAATTCGGCTAGTGTGAACACCAACAAACTTGGCGACGAAGTTCATGCACCAATTAATGTTTAGAGTTAGTTAACAGGGATTTCAGGTTTAATCAAGGATTGATGTCAGTTGGAGAACTATAGGAAACCAGCTAGGAGAGTTAGACAGCTGTTTCCTCTGTCCTTGTTTGGGACTCTTCAACAGTACACACCCACAAGAGTTCGTACCCAGGACATTCCGGTTACAAATCAAGCTCGAAGACAATTCATCAATGGATCATGAACTCCAAGTTCTACCATTTCATGATACTAGGACGACCACCACCACCTTATCCATCAGTGGTTATTTGTCCTCGCTGATGAAGAGTCCCAAACTAGGACGAAACAGCTGTCCAGTACAGTCTTATAAATGACATCAGTCGGTGATTTGACTTGAGTGGGACAAGTTAAATTTTTATTTCTTCTCTCTTTTAATGACATGGAAGTAGAATTTGTTTCACTTTAAAGTAATTTTTTATTCATTAACCAACTTTAGTTTTGAAACCCAGAAACACTGGACACCTTCATTGTCTTTTTTGTCTGGAACTTTTCTGTGACACTCGGCCATAGTATCTGCTGTAATAGTTTGAGCCATTGATTTTAATCTTTCTTGCGGAAATTGGTTCTCATTAGTCTGTATGCAACAGACAATATCGTACCAAAATGTGGGAATACTTTCTTGACCGAAATCATGAATTCTCCGAATGCATGCATTAACCTAATACCTAATCCTTGTGAGGTTTTTACTTGATAGTGGGTGATCGGGCAATAGGATTCAGGATACACATTTCGTTCTGTTTTGTGACTTGATGGCTGAATGTATACTCCAGTGAGTGATGGTGTGTTACCACTGAAACTTGAACCCAACTACCCATGGTTTCAAATGCCAAAACTTCAGCTACGAGACTACTTTGGCCATGACAACAGGTATCAATTATTATTATTTGTTTTAGTCAATTCTTTTTTGCCGTCCATTGCCATTTCCAAAACGAAAGAGTTCTGGGTTCGAGCCTCAGCGGAAATACTATCACTGCCTGCGAATGCAGGTATATTCGTCTGACACATCCTAAACAGAAGTGAATACACTTCCTATATTCCACTACTAGTTACCATCGACCAGGATAACATCAAGTTAGTCTTTAGATGTTGTCGAAGTGTTCGTAGTAGGCGCTGATATGTCAACAGAAACCGAGGAGGTCGTCGAATGACATCGCACTGAATGCAGGTCATCTCTGCTCGAGTGGAATCCGAATAAGAAGCAAAGAGTGGGTGGTCGGTACGAGAGTGACATGGAAGAGATCGTATGGTGAGGAAGGGATGACAGATTATGGGTAATCGTGGGGTCACTAAGCTGAAGAGAGGACAGCAGAAAATAGAAGAAGGTGGAGATGTGTTGTTGAAGTGGTATATTCCATTTAGAACTTAAGGGGATAATAATAATAATAATCGAACTCAGCTGAAAAAAATGTGATGAACTGAGGCTGTGCACATCATCACGTGATTCCTCATATAAGTTAGTATTGACATGTGGCATCGTATTTCTCGACTCATTTGCCTACACTACTTATGAGTAGTGAGTTCAACAGTAAAACAAACAGTTCAGCAAAGAATCCCATTTGGTTGAATTCATTGTCTCTTCTTAACTGTACAATTGGGGCCCTCGGGACTCTAAGAATCAATGGCTGGAGACAATAGGTGGCATGGCTCAAAATCGTTGTCAATGGCTTACGCAGTTGTATTCAGTCTCTGTAATCTTTCATATTCCTCTCTACCATTACCCATTCTGTTTCACTCTTATACTTGTCAAAACTCTATTGATTCTCTTCACTCTCATCTTCTTGTCTACCTTTGTGTGGTATTTGGAACGTGGCAACTGGAACTGCTGCACTTCGGTGCCAAGTTCTATGTTGAACCAGACAGACAGACTATCCACTTAAGAATTATTGAAAACTAATGAATATTTGACAATACTGACCCGTTCTTATTGCTGACTGTTCACAGTAATTATTACACAATCATCAGCTGCTCTGTTGGAGGAGGGATGAGTAGTTATTCAATCAGCTTTAAGGACAATTTACTCAATAATAATGAAAGTAAT